CTTTTGTAGTTATATCGATAAGTTATTAACACACACACACACACAATTTCGCCTATTCACCATAAAAATCTACGGACAAAGAAACAAAAAACTTCTCAACATATTCTCCACGTGTCGATGATGCATGTAATATTTAATCAAATATCGAAAAGTTTCTCAACGTGACCCTTATCATCTATTACCTTACACGAGCATAGTAAGTTTGTGTGCCCGGACAATATCTCACCATAATGTAACTGCGCACCTGGCTTATTCATATGAATATATATTATATTGTTAAAGCGAAATTCGTGTCTTTACATAATTCCTAATTTTATATAACAGCGCAGACGTGATCTTTGCTGTGTGTAAAGGTTCTACGAAAAAAATTACTAAGCGGGGACAGATTTAAATTTAATAAAACGGGCTTAAAAAAATTACTGAAAATAATTCTCGAAATAATTAAGTTATAAAATATGATTAAAGGTGCTTTTCGAAATTTTGCTAATGTAATAAAATAAAAGTATGTTAGAAGGTTAAAGTAAAGGTTGGTTTACTATTTATTTTTGTATTAAAATATTTAACTATTTCTTTTAATGTTGTTTATACATGTACAATAGGATGAAAAAAGTGTATAATTCTTTTAAAATCCTGTTAAAATTTCAGGAAATCTTTTTCAAATTCTCATAATTTTTCAGATAAGGCTTATCAATATTAGTATCCATATTGATAAAATATGGATACTAATATTAAATATATAGTAAATAATAATAATATTTATAAATGTACTGCACGTATGGCGTAGTGTTTTAAGCGGCCACCTCGCCGCCGCCTTCTGCGCTGAGTGTTGTGGGTTCGATCCCCACATGGGACAACACTTTGTGTGATCTGCAAATTGTTCATCCACCAGACCGTCTTCATTACTGGTTATTTTTTAAAAGTAAACTCATATTTGAGTATACTTTTTTCATACATGTCGAGGGTAAATAGTAGAATAAAAACAGTTAATAATGTTAGTAATGTAACTATTTTACTAGTTAATCTGACTAATAGTTGAAGACATCATGAAGTAGTCATGTGTTTAGGTGTTCCAATCAACAAACGCTGATTGTTTATTGATCTAGTTAGATAATTTCATGATGTGAACGACCAGACCATTACATTATATACAAAAGTACATAGGAAATAATTAATTTAATTATCTATGTTTTATTGTAGCTACTTATATTCCAATTGTCTTGTTGTTTTTAAAATCAGTTCAAAAGTTTAATATTTATTATTGCTTTCATAAAGTGACCGGTACATAACAAAATCTCATTAAAAATAAATGTAAACTGCAACTGCTGCAGTCGGGGTTTGGATCGAGTTTAAGTTAAGCTTAGTACAGCTATATTATTAATAGTCGTAATTCAGTTGGTGTCACCACCAATTCTAGCCGCTGATTTTTATAACCTATTACTAATTCAATTTATAGGCTTTTTAAAATAAGAAAAATGTGCAATTTTTCTTTGTGGAAGAATGTAAAGTTGAAAATTAAACCAATATTTAAGTACAAAATTCAAAATATGATTAAATTATCCAAATAATATGTTCCAAATTCACAATCAAATAAAATTACTCAACATCACGAAATCAACTCTTGGTTAATATAATATATTGTAAAGTAATTGGATATTTTTAGCAAGTTATTCATCAAATCTCTCCATCAGTTTGCTCTTTCGATATCAATTCTAAAAAAAATATCTAAGAAATTCATGTCCCCGCAAATAAATAAATTAGATAGAATCTATGAAGGGATCCACGGAAGTGTACATAAAGGGCGAGCTGCCGATGGATAATTTAGTGGTAGAACAATAATTCGCCGGGTGCCATTAATCCAGGCCATTCAAGCGAGGCCCCGCTTTTGCCGTAAGCGACGCTTTCGCTCGTAAACAGTCGTAATAAACGCTAACGTATCCGTGCAATGTTTTTAATACGGGAAATAATGTTTTATGTTTGCAGCAATAGTTTTATATACTTACCTATATGATACTTGTCGATTGTGAACATCATGTGGTAGTATCTAGTTTAATATAGTAGCTATAAATGGTAGTCTAAAATATTAGGAATTCGCCTGTAACATTTATTAAGTAGGCTAGGGGGAATAGGAGGAGTTTATTTTTTAACTTGCTGAATCATGATTTTGTACATTGGAAAGATAATTGTAGGGATGTATTATACAATCAGGAACTTTAGAATAAGATCTACTACTTTTTGAGGTATGTGGACATTTCAATAAAATTAAAAAACTCAATATAAACCAACTCACGTATTCTGCTAGGGTACACGTATACAGTTACATACGTCAATGATACTCCTTCAGTATGGAGTATATTCAATATACATGATTGCATTCATAGTTATTTCATTCATTTCTTACATCGGCCACAATCATCAAAATCATCACTGTACTTCACATATATACCTATACCCACATACAACCACATGCCTTCCTCTTTTCAGGGTAGGCATCGACTATGTCTTATTATGCATTATCATCATTATCATCATCTTAGAAAAGAGCCGCTGTAAATGTTATTCTCCCCCGAACTAATAAAGTGGACATAGCGCACATTTCAGCTAGGACAAAAGAAAACAGTTTCCAAGGGGTATTAAATAAATCGACAAATTGTAAATGAATAATGATAATAATATTTTATTTATTTCTCTCATCACAAAGGTAGGTGTATAACTCATAAATACATATCAGTCAGAAAATGCGAGCAGACAATTATTTAATGAGATATTTCCTTTATTGGTCCTTTTCTTTCAAGTTCTCCAATATTCGCTCTAACTGACCTTTTCCTAGTATACAATATTCTTCTTTTATGAGAAAAACTTCCTTAGATCTTTTAAAGCCCCACTTTATAATAATTCATCGCACTAATATCTTCTTATCTGAACATTACCGCATCATCCATTCATCAGTCTTGATACTCTTTCGTTATACATACGCATACGTAGTAGCAAAGAAAACACTTTAACTGAACAGGATGAGTAGGCCCCATTGTATGACATTGCATATTTAACAATAGAGAAATGAACTTTACGTACCAAATAGATGTTTATCTTCGTTTCACTCGAGGGCAAATTGCCAAGTTTCATTGTATGAATCACGGCATTGAACGATACTTGAACGCTTTTCAATAAAATGAAGTCAAAAAAATAGAAAGCATATCGATATGTTGAAGTTTCCTTTTTTCCCTTATATAAATTTTAATTCTAACGCAATCGGTGCCCTTCGTTTAAGTATCAAGGCTTTAATCGTTTCCGTTATCGAGGGTTCGTAAAAAATTTGAAGGAGGCTTGAGTTTCCTTTACACAAATTAGCTTTGAAAATCGTTATTTTCAGCAGTTTTTTCGCAAAGGCTTTGAGTCACTTTACGGTAGAGATGGTAAGTAGAGGAGGACTCCTAAAAGATATGAAAAAAGGAACAACTGAATAGGCATAAATAAAAGCTTTTAAACGACTCCAAAAGACTAGTCGTTCGATTTTTTTAATAAAAATGCTTACCTAATTAACTCTCAGTGGCTCTAAACTAATTGCCCTTTAATCATAATAATAACTAAAATGACGATCATTCAATAAACAATCACCAATTGTGAATAAAGTACCTCGAAAATTAATACCTGGTACATGTATAGAAACTTCCAAGCGACTTAGAGATATAGAGAATAGGTAATTTATTTCAGCTTCGACACCTGACTGTGAGCACGCCTCAAACACTTTTATATTAAATTTCGCGTTGGCAGAATATCAGACCCACGAGAAATAGGAAAATAATTTCTTTTGGACATACGTGCACATGCTTAAGACTGTGAACACCTTATTTTATTTTGAGAAAAGACGGTACGTTCTTTCGAAAGAAACGCTATTTTTGTTTTTAATGTACTCAACTCATACTTGTATTATTTTTTACCTTTTGTAAAAAAAAACGTTGAAAGACTACTCGTATTGAAATTGGCAACTGACTTCACAATTGTTTCATTACTGGCAGATAAAAATTGGTGTAAATAATTTTATTGAAATAAACTGTTTTCATTTTGTTATTAAACTGAATATTTTCATGGCTTTAGTAATAATTTCAACTGATATCTGCAATTCCAAACTAAATTGTGTAGACCACTTTCACAAATGTGTGTGTATCTATCGCCGCCCATGGACACCTACAACTGCAATAACAACACTTCCACATGGACACGAGTCACAAGTGCATTGTAAGCATCTGAGGGGTGCCCTCTCCCCCTTAAGTTATATAGTTATCACTCCATTTGTGCCGGTCCCTACGTGCCAAGGGTATCACAAGACAAGACCAAAAAAGGCAAATATGCAAAGACTAGCTTTAAATCCAATATACGGTAATCCCATTACAAATATACTATCAGGTGATAAGTCTGATTGATTGCAAAATACTAATTGCAAAAGAAATCAAATAATCCAAATAGCCAAATCTTTTTTGTGAGAATGTAACGCGTAAAAAAAGTCAAATAAACGACACCATTTAATTTGTATATTTCTTATTTAAAGACAAGGAGTTATTAATACCCTTCTTATGGCTGACATTTATCTTTAACTCAAAAGGAATACATTTATACACGATGTTACACTAAAATTAAAGGAATAATCTTTTATAAAAATGACAGGTTAAAGACGACAGGTTGAAATTTGGTGGAATACAAGTAAATATTCGTATTTGTAATGAGCCCCAGACGAGACTACAATGCCATATCGTTTTGTATTTCACAAATCGATGTGACTCGTACAATATTATAATATCATATTACTGGTTAGGATGACAAAGACTAAATTGGCACATACCTCATAAATTGAACAAATTCATCATCTTGCACTCGGCTACATTAAACATACAGGTCTTGGAAATCTCTCCTGGTGCGATTAACATAAGCAAAGCATGCCTGTAAACCGATACGATTTATCTCATAAAATGTATCCAGAGGACACTTAGTGGCTTATAAGACACTTAGGCCTGCTTCTCCACTATTTCTAACAGTTCATCTCGCACTGACCGGGCAATAGCAACGGCAACCGGACCGTTATCTTTGCTGACGGGTATTTTGATCCGATTGTCATTGGCTATCGGACCAGAATACCTGTCTAAAAAATAAAACGAGTGTGCTTTAGACCACACGACTGAAGTAAAATTTCTTGGCTAAGAGAGAAAGAAAATGTGTGCTCGCACCTCTCTCTCTGTTGCCTACAGTAGTATACGAAACGTAACTCTCTCTCTTTCTATCTTCACCAACTTATATCTCCCTCTCAACTTCCGTTCGCTTCGCCCGATCACACTTTTCGTAACGATCTCGTCACGAAGCGAGCGTAAAGAAGTTTTACTTTTGTTTTAGGGGTCAGGGACATGGGCAGGGGGTGGAGAACCGGCGAGCGCGTTGCGAAGCGCGCTCGCTTCCAGGGAGCACAGGGAACATGGGGTTCCCACACGGGGCGGGGGTCGTCTACTCGTCTGTAGATGACCCGAGGTATGTCGGGGCACCAGGGCCTTCCTTTCTAGGGTATACCTGGTTCCCCGGCTATTAGTACCCGGCGAAGGCGTGCGGTTTTAGTCGGTTCGAGTCCGACATGCCACCGAGAGGTGGTATCCGAGGGGATTTCCGCACGGAAAAAAAAAAAAAAAAAAAAAAAAAAAGGGGGTGGAGAACGGCCTCCACTGCACCCTTATTCAGAGAGGGTTGGGGTTTGTGGACATAGGGGTTTCCACACAGAAAAAAAAAAGAAAGGAGTCAGGAACAAGTGTTAGTTATTTTATTTGACAATAACTTCGACACGTTTCTTTGCTGTACTAATGTTCTATTTTCAGATACATTAATACTGTAATAAGTTTTATGTTAATGCTTTTGTTATTATCATGTATATGTATAATTAATGAATTCATAATCAACAGACGAAAGACCCTTCTGCGTTCGTTGATCTATCACCATTAACGTGACATGATCACATATTACAAAACAGCTTTGCTCGCGTCGCCACCCTCGCAGATTTCGATTGAGACGGAAATCATCAATCTTTTAATCTTCTGTTACATTATTCATAAATCAACAACCATTAGACTTCGTATTCGAATATCACATGTACACTGTCTCCAATGCGCCTTCATCATCATTAACTTTCTACTCTTCAACGTGATATTATTTTTAAAGTTGAAAACTAAACGGAAGACAACTCCCAAATCGACAAATCGGTTATTAAATGACAGAGTTTTGTGGTAATATAAAAAATAATGCCGTACTAAAGCATTCTCCTTTTTTTTAAGTCGCTTAAAAGTTGAGAACATTCTTGGTCTTAAATAAACACGAGCCATTGTACTGTGATATTTTAAGCATGTAGTTCTCAATCAATCCCTCAGTGTGCCTATTGAAGTCCACTGCTGGACATAATCCTCTTCCAATATACTAACAACAGCAACTCCCTTCTGTTCTGTTTGGACCTTATAATTAAAGGTCAAATGAAAAGTACCGATGTTTTTTTTTAATATATTTATTTTTATATTCAAATAAGTACACAGAAACACAAAACGTAAGAAAAAAATGGAAAAAATGTAGTTTTCATAAAATTTCACGGGTGTACTCAATTGAGTACACTGACCGCCTAAGTATGAAACATTTTAAAACAGGCTTTTTCGATGCAAAGTGTTTTTAGGCACTTTTTACATTGCCAGCACACTCTTGAGTGGCAAAGGATACATAGCATACATAGATACATTTCAATTTTGGCGGGGTAATGTCCAACTCCATCTTCAGGCAGCCCTTCGACTAGTGATGCAGCCATGCGCGATATCCTCGGTTTATCGGACATGGCTCTTCTGACCAATTCTACGCCTATATCTTCATCTAGAGACTAGCACATTCGTTCTCGATGTAGCTTATGGTACCCAGATACTATCAAAACTCCTAAAAACTTTTTAAAATCAGATGAATGCAATTGAAAGTCATGTCGATTGTGTTAATTAGCGTAAAGTATGCTATTAGATATAATCATATCAACAGTATCAGCATCAAGCAATTTTTCATATATTTGTACAGGGTTGAGGCCCTTCAGTTCATCACAAATAGCATTTTTCATATTACTGACTTCAGAAGTACTCTGAGAAGTTGCTGAGTATGAAGGGATATATTTCCGAAAGTTTGGGTTTGGAGTAGATAGATCTTGTTCTGTGTCTGTTGTACACACTATCTTCGTCACCACTACCCTCTCGATTCATAAATACTTCAATAGTACCAGGTACATCTTGCGGTATTCAACACGCCGCCATATCCTCGTCAGCACCTTCCTCTTCATCAGTCAGTGCACTTGGATCAGGAGGTATGACAGCCAAGTCATATTCATTATCATCGCTCTGCTGTAAAATGACTTCAATAGCTTCTTGAAGTCCCTTGTAGCTCGTTTGAGATGTATATGTTTCTTTCTCCATTTTGAAATAAAAACCCTGTTATTTCACTTACGTATGTGGTCACTGTACTCAATCGAGTACAGTAAAATTATATGACTGTAGTTTTATTTTAGTAACGAATCATTGATTGTATTGTTTATTATAACTTACTCTGACATTTATTTTATACCAATGAAATAAAAAAAATAACTTACAAACAGAAATAACTAACTACTACTACTACTACTACTACTACTAATCATTTACTTACTTCCACAGTGTTTCGGTGACACTACTTCAACTGACACTTTTAGGCAAAAATAATCACACTACCAGCGTAATACTTTTCAATATACCTGAACAGTATTATAATTAAATAAAATAACAAAGGCCCCTTTAATTTTACAAGTGTTGAATTGAAATTCAAAAATATGATGATGAATGACCTCCTGCTTCGCAGTCAGGGTCACTAACCACTAGACCAACAGGCCCGTCAGTCGTATATAATTATAATAGAAAAGATTTGGCTACTTACGTGAATATAAATTATGTCATATTGAACAGAAAATATTTAATAAACTTGTGTAGAGAAATAATTGTGTGATGAGCACGGTCATTTGTTCTGTGTCTGGGTGTACTTTATCTATAATATGTATGTATTTAGAAATATAAATGTATGTTTATCAGCAGTCTGGTTACAGGCTCTGCCTGGTTTGGGATCAGACGGCCATGTGTGAAATATGTGAAAATACTATTGCAGGACGCTGCGGTATCGAAACAAATGACGACAATGAATGATTTATCAGTCATAAGTACCAGAATATACTTTAAATTAAATGTAGAGGTTGTGCGGTATGTTTCACAAAGTACGCAAAGCGGTATCTGCAATTTGTCCTCACTAATGTTAGTCACATAGTCGGAAATGATCGCATGAATGAATTCATCTGTGTGTGCATGGCTCTGTAGCATTCCCTCATATACATATGTATTTATCCTGCATATTTCTTTCTATCCTATCTCTTATATATCTTTAGCACCAGCTCTGGGGTAGAGTTTGTGGAACTGTCGCTATAGCCGCTGAGGTCGCCAGAAACGCCAAAATGCCAAATAATAAATAATTTCAAACGAAAAATAAGAATTTTATAAAAAAATTCTAGCTGAAAAATATCCTATCATATATTTGTCTTGTATGCTTGTAAACTGTAAAAATCATGAAAACATAATAAATAAACAAAGGAAGTTACAATAGTTAAGCTTAGAATTCGGCAAAATCGAAACTGAAATAGAATTTATCTGAAATAAAAGCGTTGATCAAAGGGCACTGAAAGACAATCTCGATCTACCCTTATCAAAAGCTAATACCGGCGCTGCATATCCAATAAACATTTTGTTGCATATGGAAGAGGTAAATATCAATTTTGGTAGGACGTAAGGCTAAGTATTTTTCTGAACAAATCGAAACCATCTAAACGAATCAACTCCTCAGAAAATCGACGTAAACACTTTAAGTATAATGTTGTTTCTTGTTAATTAAATTTTTTGTAAAAAAGTTCTTTCTCAAGACAAATGAGTTCAAAGATACTACAAAATTGATTTTAAACCCATTTTTCCACCAGACCCTGAATGTCACTAATGTCTACAATTACTTATTTTATACTTCCTGCAAATACATTGCATAAGGCGGACTTAATAAGATAGGCATTTTCTTCCAGTCCACTTTTGGGTGATGCAGAGATGTGTGCGTGGCAGGTGTATAATTAGAGCCGATGAGATATATTATTTTAAAATGTAGCCAGTAGCAAGGTGTTCTACGACATAGATGTTATACTACATTTAAAATAAAGTTAAGATATACTAGGTATACATGTAATTTATACTTACTATATAATACTATAAATATAAGAAACATACATCCATATATACACCTACAGTAATGAAGACACGAATAGTTATTCTGATGACTCCGTCAACAGGTTTTCATTACTATACTTACTATATTTTTAAGCTTAACGTGATAAGGTAAATTGTAGAGTTGTGTACACTGTACATATTTTTATAATAGCTAGGTAAAAGTAAAAGTAAAATTACTCTATTTGAAGCAAATGCTTGAGAAATGCATTTTTAAACCAAATTTCTAACCGGAATACGCCAAGAAGTCGTCTGGATGCGAATTATTTAACCTAGTCGCCTTATGTATAAAAGTTTTAAAGTTATTGTGTTTTCCATAGGTGTAAACTAAACTTTTGCTTACACGCACTGCAAACAGGAGGTAATTAATTGAACTGCATTTTTAATATTTAAGAAGGAGGTTCTTTATTCGATTCTTATTTTTTTAGGGACCAGAACCAGAAATTTTCTCTTTATCGGTATGAAACAGGAAGTGTGAGTAAATACTATAACTAGATCCGCTTGACGAGTTCCCATTCCACTCATCCATCACCGAGGTGATACGAACTCATTTCACTTCAATAAACTTAAATTTTTGGAAACTTTACTCTTTTTAAACATTCTCAACTATTATGAAACATTGACTAAACTTTAAAATACTTTATGTAATTAGGATAATAAAAATAGATGAAGAAAAGCTCAACGAGAATATTATTCCTAGATTATGTCGCAGTAACAACATTGTACTCGCGCACAGCGCACAGCGCACTAACAGGAAAAAGATTTTAGCAAAAAAACGTAGTACAAATTGCTAGGTTCAAGTGTAGTTATTACCCCATTAGAGTGAACGACTGCGCTACGTCGTCTGAACCAGCGAAAATTGAAGGAATAAATCTCGTAACTATTTTACACTGTATTATAATATGAACAGGGTCGCAATGACATAAAACAGTGGCTCAACGGTAGGTATTCCAGGCATTACCGAATCAAGAATTTATATACCGCAAAAACAATTACATCATACAATCATAAATAAACATCACTACCAATCCTCATAAAAGCAATAGAAGATGACAAAACTAACCGAATGCAATAGAAAACTATGTAAGAAGAACAACTTTGTAGCAAGCAAGCTTTACAGAAAGTTTTTCAATGTTTATTAACGAGTCAAAGCTTTTTACAATGATGATAAAAATAGATACTGAAATAACAATGTTTGGCAAATGTAAAGAGGGTTACTTAAGTGCACATGAACACTAGAACACATTAGTTTGCGGATTGACATTTACGGTGGTAAACATTTGTCTTTCTCGCCGGTTGCATAATGCATGCAATGGACAATCTCTAGCAATTATCTGCCTGTTCTATTTATTATTAATAATCAGCGATTACACCAGTGGCCTGAAATCGCAACGATGACTTTTCGTTCTGATAGTCTATGGCACACTGAAAAGTAACTACCCGCCCAAAAAAAATACCTAAAAATATCTCTCCCATTGAAAAATCAAAGGGTTATGTAGTTAATAAGGAAGACAGTAGACAAGTATACAGACAGTGGACAGACCAACTAACAAAATAAAATTATCCTAAAAGGTTGCCTTCAAAACCATCGAGTATGTGCGCTGCATGCTGCGTCGGTGATAAGACCTTGCGGTGATAATCAGCCTATGACCCTGGCCAGTATAAGCTGGTCAGGTGTTTGAAGACATGTACCTATCTACTCTTATATCTTAAAACTAGATATTTAGAGCTATAATGTTAATAGGTAGGTACTTCATAAGAACCGACTTTCATACTTCGTACTAAAAGATGTGGTGTGAAAATTATAAAAGTAACTTGAATGATATTATGTAGTGATAGGTTTAATCGAGTTCAATTGATTCATTTATTTATGATGATATACTGAATTCAATTCTATTAAATTACATAATTTTTACACCCGACACACACACAAATCTACATTGTCCAACATACAATCACATTTAAATTTTTAAATTATTTTACATCTATATCAGAAACAAGGAAAGGACCGATTAGAAGTCAATATAAAAATATGTTGCAAGTTGGTGGTTATAATACTGCGTTACTGAAGAAAAATGTTTTCGGCATGGCTCCTGTTATTTATAACAAAATACCCAATGTTATAAAAAATGAAACATTAGAAACATTCAAGAACCGACTACACTTCTGCTAAATAAGTGTTATTATTCAATTAATGATTTTTTAAATGATAAACTTTAGATGTTTAGTTTTTTGACATTACCTATGTTTATTTGATATTTAATTTATTTTCCTTCTTACAATTAATATTGCTAACGTAATTATTTCGACCACTTTATTTATATTTATATTATAAGTTGTAATCATTCAAAAATGTATTTGTTGTGTTGAATTTATTGTAAATTTTTGATGCATTTTTAATGTTTGCATGCCTAGTCCAGGTAGATTGTATAAGGATTAGAAAACTTGTTAACATCACTATTTTATGTACCTACAATCAATGCAAATGAAATATATTCTATTCTATTCTATTCTATTCTAAATTAAATATACATAATACATACATCACATACATTTAAATTAGAAATTGACCGATTTCCATTAATGTACGTTAAATTAGGTATTTCGATTTTAACACTTTTGCTATGGTCAACCTCAAAGGACAGGGCTTATTTAATTTCCCCAATATTAAGTTTGGTTTAATAAACTAAAAACCCATACATAGTAAAAACTCATCTGTGACGTATTCGTAATTATCAATTTTACAACTACTTCTAATGATCAGTATTTGTTTACAATTTGATGAGAATTGATTACACAGAAATTATAAAATATTAACTTGATTAGAAGACCTCATTCCTATTAATCAAATTTCAATTATACTTATGATAGTTCAGGTCACGATCACCCTCTATTTTGATTCCATTGTTTTATTAGTTTCCGTAAACTTTTCTCATCTTATAATGACGGAATACATTTATATCATGATTTTAGATCTATTCTTGTAAAACAGATTATTAAGCGAACTGTCAACATTGTCGGAGCAACATAGCGCTTGAAAGTTACTAGTACACAGACACTATAGTCCGATTCTCCCCAGAGTAGTGTCATCAGGATGTTTTTTTTTTGGCAATAATATACACTTTTGGCTCCTG